AGCAACCGTCGCGAACGGCTTCTCTCCCATGGTTGGGCATTGCCGCCATCCAAGACGGCTAAACATCCAAGAAGATTGGATGACTCGAGATCCCACTGGCAAAAACGATTGGAATAAGTGTCTGAACCTGCTCACTTTTGTGGATAAGTGCAAACGACTGTGACTGAAACTTTTCTGCATATCTGCGTGGAAAACGTCCAGATTCAGACACTTGTTCCAATGCTCTTTGCCTCTCCCATGGTTGGGCTTTGCCACCATCCAAGACGGCTAAACATCCCACAGGCAAAAACGATTGGAGTAAGTGTCTGAACCTGCTCGCTTTTGCGGATAAGTGCAAACAACTGTGACTGAAATGCTTTTCTGCATATCTGCATGGAAAGCGTCCAGATTCAGATACTGCTTTTCTGCATATCTTCGTGGAAGACGTCCAGATTCAGACACTTATTCCAATGCTATTTGCCAGTGGGAAATGGCCCTAAGTTTGCACCAGTTATTGCTGGAAGGGGGCTGAATTGAATGAAACTAGGCAGAAACACGTTCAGATTCTGGCCTTTTTCCAAGAAGATGGTCATCCTCGACCTCCTCACCATTTTTTTTAATCCATTATGTCTTTTAAATTTATTTATTTATCTTTTCTCATCCTGTCGCACAGGTCCAAATAGGCCATGACTCGTGTGCTAGTGGAATCGTGCCCCAGGTCGAATTGTGACGTCCCGGGCCTCATCCTATTTTTTTTTGAAAAAAAAAAGAAGAGCACCCCTACACCCGCACTAGAATCTGATTAAAAAATCATATACTCCGTTTTCGAATGAATTCAGAGAACCACAGATCAAGCAGTCAAAACCGCAGATCAAGCAGTCAACAGCACAACGGGCACGAGGCCAAACAAGCTGTGTGAAGTCAAAGCAACGTCAGCAAGTTGAAAACAACTCACTTTAACAAGTGGCTGTTAACAGTGGTTTCGTGAAGCTCATTTGATGCTTAATGGCTGACTCCACCTAACGTCAATTGACGTCTAACTTCCCCGGCTAGGTGGCCATAGCCGCGCCAACTCTCGCCAACCCAAGTCAAGCCTCCTTCGCATGATGAAAAAGGTCCGACAACACTATGCCTAGACTCGGCAATACGGAAAGACCCGGAACAAGACGACCAAGTGCACTGGAAAGATCCAGTAACTGGACACCGAGTGTGGACAAATTCAGAGGAGACCGGAAGTGGCCCCAAAAAATCAGTCTGGACCCGAGTTGAAAAAGTTCCGAACAAGCACACAGGGCTACTCCCTGTATTGTCCTATCTCACTACCAACCTCAAATTAGGTCCTTCCCTGGTACCATATGTGCTATGGTCCCGGTAGGACAGCCACAAAAACCGGTATAAGGCCTACCCTGGTACCAATAACTACCTCTACACTGCCTTGCCGTACGCCCTACAGCTCCACTACACCCTACACACCGCCCTCCAAGAGGCATGTACGGCGGGAATGTGGGGACCAGGGGCAAGGTCCCACTTGCACGGATGGAGATTCTGGCCGTTGATCTTTGCTATCTACGGTCAATATCGCTTAATTCGTGTAATAAGAGGGACCTAGCCCCAGGACAACGGCAGAAGGGAAAAAAAAAAAACAACCAGATTAGGGGGACCGAATGCAACCTGGCAGGACCGCGGGCCTCTCCAATGTGACCCGCAAACTGGCTCAAATTTTCGGCGGGAATGGGATCAGGTCCCCGTGTGAGTATGCCCTCAGATTGAAGGCGCCCTTAATTTTCGATACTGGTAGTTGACTTGGGCCCTCCATCGCTTTCAATAGCGAAAAAAAAGGGGTATGGTTTTGGCGTCCAGTCGCTATTCATCGGCCGTGCGACGCAGGTAGGAGTGCTCTGTCTGAGTACGTTCGAGTTACGTTCAATCGTATACTGAAAAGCGGTCTGTCTTAGGAGAGAGTGGCACGTGTCTAATCGCCCACGTGTCGAATCGGCCCTTCGCCAAATGCCTCCTCCTGTCCAATCGGCTAGGTGTGCAATCTGCCACGTATCCAATCTGTCCCGTGTCTGATCAGCACCGGAGAGTTGGTGCTGCGGATTGTTTCATAGCGATCGAGAAGTCGAATCTTAGCTAGTGATGGCGGAAGTTCTGCGGCAAGGCAGTGTGCAGTTTCTTGAGGATCTCGCTGTCACAGCCCGGTGTGCTGATGTGTCGTCGAAGAGAGCACCTACGATGGCGTTTGGCCGCGCGAGATTAGATGGTAATGCGTGCAGCAGGAGGAGGAGGGAGAGGAGGGAGAGGTGTGAAAGTAGTATCTCCGGCGGGAAAGTATGTGCAGCTAGGTCGTCGAGAGTGCGCAGCTTTCAAGAGACGATGTTGCTGTCGGCCATAGCTTACGGGGATAGAGCCCGACGGCAAGGACGAGGAAGGGATATGGCGGGGGACTCCGGCAGGGCCCCTTCTAGAGCGCAGCTCCTTCTTGGCTTGTCTCTCTCCCGAGTCCACGTGGCAGCAGATGACGTCGTTGCATGTCGGGATCGGGCGGATCAGATGGTGGTGACGTGTCAAGCCGAAGGTAATCGAAGAAGAATGAGCGCCGGTTCTTCTCTTCGGGAGGAAGACGACGACGAAGACGATGATGGCGATGGCGGCGGAGAGTACATGGGAAAGATGAGAGTGATGGGCAGTGACGAGGAAGAACGTCACGAGGAGATGGAGGTCTACGATGGAGTGGTGAGTGAGAGTTGCCTTGCTTGGGGTGTGGAACCCTCATGATCTTCCTCCTCCCCCCTTTTCTTTGTTTGCAACCCGATTACAACGCACCCTGATTCTGAACGTATACAAGCTGTCTTTCCGGTCCGGTACAGTCGTGATGAGGCTGCGTTATGTTCGGGGGAAGACGGTAGTAATTAGTCGTAAGCGCACCGGTGGGTCGCGCTTGGCCATTACTCCCCCCCCCCCCCCCATCAGTCAGCACGTGCGATGTCAATCTGTGTCTGAGTGGATGGTTGGGATCGAGCGATGTCAGGAGCGCCAGCCGCCGCCGTCTTCTGTTCCAGTGACACGTGGCAAATTACTGGTGTCTTGTAGATAAGATCCTGTTTTCAACTCATGGTGTCTTTCCTCCTAATCATCCTACTTCTCCTACTCCTCCCCCGTCGTTCCCCTTATGCATCTCGTCCGCTCTTCTTCCTCTGCCTCTTCTTCCCTCCTCTCTTTCTCTGTTTCTCTCCTTCCCTCCCTTACTTCCTTGTACTTCTTTTACTCTTTCCCTCCTTCCTAATCATCCTACTCCTTCTCCTACTCCCCCCGTCGTTCCCCTTATGCATCTCGTCCGCTCTTCTTCCGTCCTCTCTTTCTCGGTTTCTCTCCTTCCGTCCCTTACTTCCTTGTACTTCTTTTACTCATTCCCTCATTCCCTCCTTCCTAATCATCCTACTCCTTCTCCTACTTCTCCCCCCTGTCGCGTTTTGGTGTTGATCACAATCCTTCTGCGGTAGCTTGTGGACTTTGCAGGTTGAGGAGGAGAGGGAGAATGGACGGGTGCTGAAGACGATGCATCGTCAAATGCATGGGCTGGGTTTTGAGGTTGCTTTCGCCGGCCTAGGGTTAGGGTTTGCTCCTACAGTCTTTGTTCTCGCTCTACACTCTGCTCAGCACTTTTGCCTGGCTCGCATTTATTTATTGCCCATTAATTACTATCAACTAGGAGTGCATTTGCCCCCCCCCCTTAAAAAAGGCAGGAAGCTTGAACAAAAGAAGTAACAAGATAAGAGAACTATAAGAAGTCACTTTTCTTTTTCTGTGTAATAAGCGGGATGCTGTGGGAAGGGGAAAAAGGGAACGCACTCTATGTTCTCTTTTTTCCTCCTTTTTTTTCTACTCCTTTCCCTCCTGTTTTTTTTTTTCCTCTTTTTTTCTCTTTCTTTTTCTTTTTTCTTTTTTTCTTTTTTTTTCTAAGACTACCAGCCGGGCCGCCCGGGTCACCTTGTTTGCCCGGGCGGCCAGGCCGTGCAAGGACCAGGGAAGGACCCAACAAAAAAATAAAATAAAATAAAATCCAAAATGTTATGCAGAAAAATAACCTGAACAACTTTTGCCTCAGGGTCACATCGAAATTCTTTACCAAATTTAAAAATTTTAAAATATATTATGTTTTTTGTTTTATTTTTAATTTTTTTTTGGCCCGGTCGGGCAAGTGGTCCCGGGCCTCTCTGGTAGCCTAGTTTTTCCTTTCTTTTTTCTTATTTTTCTCTTTCTGTTTTTTTTCCCCTTTCTTTTTTGTCTCTATTTTCATTATTTTTTCTTTTTTCTTTTTCTTTCTTCCTTTTTTTGGTCTCGAGGTGACACACACGCGGGTCAGAAAACCTACAGAAATTTTCGAGGGCTCGTATTGTGAGACCCCCCGGGTTCTCATTCTCTCTCTCTCTCTCTCTCTTCACTAATCTCCCCCTCCTCAGTGCTCGTTTCTCGCGCTCTCCACCCCTCTCCTCTTCTCCCCTTTCTGTATGCAAAAGGAGTGCAAAATTAACAATGAAAAGAGAGAATTCCCGGGCGAGCGGCGTTGTGGTAGACTGTTTTCCTTTTTTTTCTTAATGGGGGAAAAAAAACAGGATTATGTTTTTTTTCATGGTGGAAATAGAATAAGGGTTTACAATCTTGGATGGGGGGAAAATATGAGAAAAACGTTTTCATGGGAACGAATCAGACATAACCCGCTGGGCTCCGAAAGCGGGGTAGGTGGAGCATGCAGAGAATTCAACTGAACGTGCATGCAGAGAATTCAACTGAACGTGCATGCAGCCAGGTGCATGCATGATTTGCTCTGGGGAAAATCTCCATCAAGCGATCTGCATGTCAACCTTCTGAACTACGAATCACCCAACCGGCCTATGTAGCTTAGTTGGTAAATCCACAAACTGTTGAAAAAAAAACAGACACCCATGAGTTCAAATTCAGTGGAATCAGAAGAGTGAAAACAGCTCGTCTGGATTTACCATGAGGCACCCAACTGGCCTACGTAGCTCAGACTCCGGTAAACCCACAGACTGTCGAAAGAACTATGGATTTACCTGAGTTCAAATTCCAATGGAATCATATGAATAAAAATAACTCTGGATTTACCTGGCGCCAATTCTGTCGAAATACACAAATTCTATTCATTTAACCATTAAAATGAATTTGTTACGCTTATTCGCAGAAATACAAAATCATTTCGAAATTTTTGAACACCTTCGTGGGTTTCATGTGACTCTTGTCACTTCAGCTAAAACCCAAAATGAAACTTCCGTTTTGTGGAGCGGGTTTTTACAGAAAGAAGTTTAGCCATATGTCAAATCAAGTCATTAGAGATCAAAAAATGAGGATACCTCGGGGACACGCCCTTTTTGTTAATGAATGAGAAAAGGAAAAGAAAAAAAACGATGAAACGCCTGGGCTTGCGGACAGCCGACAGCCGCACGCATCTGGGCTTGCAGACGGCCACTTGCATCTGGAAAGGCGGAATGCACCTGGACATGGAATGCACCTTGGCATCCGCTGGAAATACACTCGGAAGGTCATTCTGCAGCAGGTGAGCAGTGTGAACGCAGCGATGTGCACCTGGAAAGGCGGAATGCACCTGGACATGGAATGCACCTTGGCATCTGCATTCTGGGCATGATTGTTTTTGGACGTTGAGATTCTTTGCTGGGCTACTTTGGACGTTCATGCAACCAGCAGCTGAACAATCTGATCGATCTGCACCTGGACGTGTAGACGCCCATTTGCATGTTGACAGCGCTAGCTGCTTTGTACGCTCAGATTCTTTTATGGGCTGCTTCGTTTAACGCTCGTCCTGCAGTTGAACAATCTGATCGGTCTGCATCTGGATGTGCAGGCACCCAGGTGCATTCTGACAGCGGTGGAAATCTTGTACTCTGAGACTTCCCGATGGCCCACTCGTTTGACGCTCATCCTGCCGCTGAATAACCTGGTCGATCTGCATCTGGACTTGCAGGCGTCCAGGTGCATTCCGACTGCGCGAGCAATCTTGTACGCTAAGATTCTCCAATGGGCTGCTACTTTTGACTCTGATCTGCATCTGTGTGTTGGGATTATGTTTGTGAAAAGAATCCGTGTTGGTTGAAAGAAAAAAGAAAAAAAGAAAAGGATTGGAAGACCAAACGGAGAGCTATCTTTGAGGCTTCTTCTTTCAGCTGCCGCATGATCCATTCTCAACAGCTATCCTCGTTTCATGTATGAACCGTCTGGTACAGTCTGTTGTCTGGCTCTCGTACTTGCATTTTGTGGGTTTCAGGCTCCGATTCAATTCTTTGATCTGCATGTTCCACACCCTAACCAAGGAAAAATGACGATGAACAAGATGATGGCGAACACGGAGATGACACATGCCAAATCTTAGTCTTCGATTTACTCCTTTGACCAGGTAAGTTAGATGCATACTGCCGCTATTTGGACATATCGTGAACCGAAATGGGCAGGCCCTACCAGGTTCTCGCCAAAAACAATACCGTATTGGATTTTTTTTTAATCAAATTAGGTGAACGCGTCGAAGTTAGAGCAACGGCGAACCGATTTGGAATTTGGAAGAAGCTTCTTGGACCGGCAGATTGGAATTGGATGTTTTTTTTTATCAAATTAGGTGAACGCATCGAAGTTAGACAAACGGCGAACCGATTTGGAATTTCGTAGAAGCTTCTTCGACCGTTAGATTGGAATCCGACATGTAGTCCAAGCGTTTTAGATTCTTGTAGAAGCTTCTTGGACCGGTAGTTCAGAATAGGACATCTTGTGAACCGATATGGACAGGTATTGTAGAAACTTGGACAGACCCACTGTGCCCTTCGTCAAAGGACCGAACGATTTAGACTGACGAGCGCATAAATTGGTGGGGCCCACAGAAAGTCGTGCGTCGCTCACGTGTGTCCTGCGCACATCCACCTAGGTACGGCTACCCACGTGCATGCACTCTCGCGTGTGCTGCGTGCATCCATCAACCTGCATCCACTTCCGCCGAGCATCGACCCACTGGCCTTGTGCGTTCACGTGCCTGAGATGCGGTTCACGCGCCTGAGATGCCGTTCACGTGCCTGAGATGCCGTTCACATGCCTGAGATGCCGTTCACGTGCCTGAGATGCCGTTCACGTGCCTGAGATGCCGTTCACGTGCCCTTCGATGATCTGATTGCACAAGAGAACCCACGTGCATGCACTCTCCATAATCTTTCGCCTCTGAACATCGTCAATGCGGTTGTACCTGCCTCTCGCCGAGGTGGATGTGCAAAGGATGGATTAGAGAGGTGACACGAAACTTCGGCAAAGCTAATCGAGGCGAAGTTCTAGGTCGACAGTTTACGGGAGTAGCAGGCCCGTGATTCAGRCGCATGTGACTAACATGCAAAATCGATTCCACTAAATTGATATCTTTGTTGGTCCCGATGGTGTACGCAGAATCTCAAATCGGTCGACTGTTGAACTAAATGTGGTATTGGCAATACTAATTTGTTAAATCAATCTGCCTAACTCTGTCAGGAGTCCAAACTGTTAAATCATTCTGTCCAAAATGGTCGTCATCTATCCCAACCTATATCCAGTATGTCCAAAATGCTCATCGTTTCTCCCAACCTGAATCTGATATGTCCAAAATGCTCATCACTTATCCCAACCTATATCGGCTGTCCAAATTGGTTCCGATCATGTACTAAGTAGGAAAATCGAACTGACCAATTCGGTTTGATGATTGTCCAATTGAATTTTCGTTTGTCCAAATCGCTTCGCCTTGGTCCCAACTTACCTGGTCAAAGGAGTATTAATGGACTTGAATATCATCCCACTAAGGTCTGAACATTTTAGAGCTGCAATGGTCTGCCGTCTGTGTTTGTTTGTTTGTTTGTTTGTTTGTTTGTTTGTTTGTGTGTGTGAACGTGTGAATGTGTGAATGTCTGATGTGGATGTGTGATGTGGCTGTATGCTTGTCTGCTGTGTGTGTGTGTGTGTGTGTGTGTGTGTGTGTGTGTGTGTGTGTGTGAGTGTGTGTGTGCGTGCCTTGTATGAGTGTGTGTGTGTGTGTGCGTGCCTTGTATGAGTGTGTGTGTGTGTGCGCGCTAAGGTCTGAACATTTCAGAGCTACAATGGTCTGCCGTCTGTGTTTTTGTTTGTGTGTGTGAATGTGTGATGTGGGTGTATGCTTGTTCTGCGTGTCTGTGTGTGTCTGCTGTCTGTGTGTGTGTGTGTGTGTGTGTGTGTGTGTGTGTGTGTGTGCTCTGTGTGTGTGTGTGTGTGTGTGTGTGTGTGTGTGTGTGTGTGTGTGTGTGTGTGTGTGCTCTTGTGTTGTGTGTGTGTGTGTGTGTGTACAGGGGTCAACATGGGGTATAAAGAAGATGCATGATTATGAGGAGGACGAGGATGATACGAGGACGCGCAAGTTGAGGGAAATGTCGAGAACTGCATTGAAGTTTCCAGAAGAGGACGTGAAGAAGGCCAAGCACCTGATTGCCAATTTGATCAAATCGGGAGACGAAATCGAGGAGGTCCTCTCGTTCATTCTGCATATTTATTTACCCTCACCCAGTGGCCAACTCTCACCTCCATTCCCCCCTTTCGTTCCCTTCTTTGGCCCTTCGATTTTCTCCACAGCTCTCCTGCTGCTGTCTTTCTGTGCCTTTCCCTCTCTCTCTCTCTCTGTTTGCCTGTGTGCTCTGCACATGTCAGACACTGTGTTGATTGAATCTTTAGATATTTACCCGTCATTGCCTACACATTGCAGTTGATGTCAACGCATTTCAGTTGATGTCAACGCATTTCAGTTGATGTCAACACATTTCAGTTGGTGTCAACACATTGCAGTTGATGTCAACACATTGCAGTCGCTGTTTAAAGTCAAGTGTGTTCCACGCATTGCTTGGCAGTTCAGGGATCTTGCAGCACCAGGTATCATCTGTTGTTTTATTTTATTTTATCGTAAATGTATCTGACCGCATGCAAGGCCAGACCGTGATGTATCTGGCCGCAATTACGTCCGGAAATAAGTAAAGAAAGTAGGAGTTTGAGTATGCCCTCAGATTCTCCCTCTGGATTCTCCTCTCCTCCACGTGGTTTTTCTCCCTCCGTCTGCTCCCCCTCCTGGGTGTTGGCCCGGGACAACGCGGACTTTCCTGAGGGTCCTGGACATCTGGGCCGGCTGCCTCGTTATTATTTATTTATTTTCTCAGAAAATTTACCTTTGTAATGAGAGGGACAACCCTTCTTTTCAAGGTGCACAGCTGTCAGCATTTTTGGGTGCGCATTTTCCCCGAGTGAAGCCGATCGCAGCGGCAGTTCACTTCATGGGCCGTGGGTGCCGAGCCTCCTTTTTCTTCTGTTGCTTTTCATTGCATCTATAGTTCTGATCAATAGAGCATGCCAGCTTTTGTGGCCCTGAGAAACTGAAAAAACACCTTTTTTGTTTTTTCCTTTTCTTTCTTTCTTTCTTTCTTTCTTTCTTTCTTAAACCACTAGTACCTTTGCCGTTTTGGAAAATAGCGGGCCTCCGACCTTTCAGGAGGCCAAATTGAAATGACGGCCGCCGTTTAGATGTATCAATGGCAGCCGTCGGGGCCGGCCTCCGAATTCTTTGGGGAATGGCGTTTTCCCTCATTTCTGAAGAGGCAAATGTGCTACTGGTTTTAAGGTAATTCAGATCCTTTTCATCCAATTGCATCTGGATTTGAACCTGGGACGGAGCAGTTAATGGGTGTGTACCAACTGAGTCAGGCCCATGGGTGGAAACACGTTTACAGACTTTGTTAAAGCTTGTCATAAAGCCAGTTAGCTGAAGTCCCAACGCGCCTAGCTCAGTTGGTACACCCATGAACTGTTGAAATATGAATCAGACCCAAGTTCGAGTCCACATGCAATCGGATTGACAGAACAAAATAAATCTGAATTACCCAGGCCGGTCAGCTCAATGAGGAGACCGGAAGGTTGTCGCCGTTTAAAAAAAGAAAAGAAAAAAAAAGTAGTAGAGAGGGGAAGAGTAGAAAAAAGAGAGGAAAACACTGGAAGTATGTTCGTTGTTATCTGTTCCGTTTACTGATGCCTGGTGGTGAACTGACTTTGTTTCTTCCACATTGCCCTGGTTGCTGCCAGACTACTGTTTCCACCCAAATAGAATGCGTGGTCATTATGACTGCACTTTGGCCAACACGTAGTCCAGGTACGGGGATATTGACGTCGCGTTCTATATGGGTGGTAAAGACGGGAGTGGATTGTGAAGTGGCGCTGGCGCTGCATCGACCAAGTCATTCTGACCCCTACCTCCTCGCCTTTGTTTTCTCTCTCGCCCTAGTCTTGCAACGCCTATATTTTCCTTAGTTTCCCCCCCACTCATTTGCAAGCCTTTTTTTTGGGGGGGGGGGGGGGGGGG